TAAGACCCCATTCCTAGAGATTAGATCGATCCAACTAGATCGACCTAACTCCCTGGGGGTTCACGCTAAATAGCTGTCAGCCGAGCGGGCAGGAAAGTTAATTACCCCCTTACAGCTTGTAGTAGGCGGGACGGACATTTAAGCCGGATTATCTGACAGTAATCTAGTGAGACTCCCCACGGGGATAGATCGATTTAAAATCTATGGGAATGCGCCCTTATTTGATAAGGGAACCCCCACATGACCTCAATTAAACCTTAGCACGGTCTTAGCACATGCACAGTGCAAATGTACCAAAACTGTTTAGTCGCACTGTAACACCTGCGTCATCCAAGGGCAGACTTTATTAACACCTGACGTTTTGGTCAAAAACAAATGTAGAAACCCCACTTGCAGAATGGAGACGAAAAATGCTTCAAGTCGATTTCATCAGATATTGGTGACATTCTAGAGCGAGATCTTAGTAGGCCTACGTGCTACACGGCAGTTCCTACAGCTCAAGCGACAGAATTGCCATGTAAACACGCCAACCTCGGCAGCGGTGTCGAGTGGTTAACACATCAACAGCGTTGCCACCAAGAAAAACACCTTCGCAGGTACACTCGCGACGTCTTTAATGATCGCATGACATACAGATTAAGAAGGCTTCCTGCGGACGACTTCAGTTGGGGGAATTTTATTAATCACCTAATCTGCCGTATGTAGCAAGTATAGATTGCCTTCGGGCTTAAACTGTGATCGTTTTTTTTTCTCTCAGAGCCTTATCTCCAAGACCTTAAATCTTTGACAATCAGCGGGACTGAGGGTGTATTAAATGTAAGAGTAACAATCACGGGCGTCACTGTCGATAGATGATGCAGTAATAGGATGTATTTGTTGTTTACCTGAGGGTTTTTTTAAGGTAAGTTAAATAAGTCAGCCAGACAGATCAAACACACGGGAAGATCCAGCAAAGGCATTGACCTTCCGGCACCTGCGTCCGCTCCCGGTGGTCAATGTGCGCGAGGGATTAAGTCGTGGTATTCGGCCTCTTGCTGTGCGCAAAGGATAATAACCTAACAGGCCCCTTGCAGCCAAATCACAAGATGTTGACTTCAAGCTGGAAATTATATCGTCTACGATATAATTCCCTGCTTCAATCAAGCTCTTGACTTCAGTAAGCAAAAGAAGTCAACATATATGTATTCATCTGCCTGCAAAAGGCCTCTTAAGCTCAATCATCCCTTAACACATTTAGCTCACGTATATTTTTATGTATGTTTGTGTGAGTGTGTCTATGTTCTGAAACGCCTGATAATTATTGTACTTTGGCAGTATTCCCCACCCCACCGATCGAAGTTTTAAAGTCACTCACTGACTAATTTTTGTCATTTTGATAAATGTCTGTGCTATTCAAATACATTAATTTAGAAACTTACTATTATCTTTTTTTATTTTAATGGGGGGGGGGGGGAAATACTGCAAAACAGCCCGTTTTTCTTTGTGTGTGTGTTGTGAAATACCTGTATGCGCGTTGTAAAGTACGTGATAATTTTACCAACGGAGATTCATTAACCTTCACCATTAGTTGATGTTATAAATCACATTGACAGACAAATTTCTCAGAAGAAATCCTGCCAACAGCAACATGGTTTTGGACATTAGTTCTTCAAAGCCTTTATTGTATCAGCATCAGATAAGTAGGGCAGCAACTGCCTTCCTCAAAGGATTTTTTTTTTCATTATTCTCCATGTTAAGTCTTGGATTTTTGGAAGACATATAAAAGAAATGGGTTTCTTTGACTTATTAATTATCTTTATCTCTTGCTTCTACAACAGACTGTGGTTTATATTATTATATGGGACTGAATTTTACTTTGACCAACAAGGCATTATACTTATAGTTTCATAAGAGTGTAGATCCACTCAGTTTCTTTAGGGACTTTCCATTATATATATATATATATATATATATATATATATATATATATTCTTTATCTATACTTTATGTGGCCAGTGAGTATCTGATAATCTTGTTTCACAGTCTTTTTCTGTTATAATACAGGTACATCCATGTACAGGTATATAACCTCATGCTTTGATTAAACTTGCATATATAATTGACTAATGAAACGTGGTTACATCTTTTTGTTTGATTTCAGTGGTTTGGCTTCCAACATCAATATGACTAAAAATTCTGTTTCAGTTGCCGGTGCCTTTTTCCTCAAATTCAATGTTCCATTCAAGATGCCAAGGTATTTACTGTACTCCTCACTTCTTTGAATTCTTCATTTTCATTTTTACCTTCTGTGCTGAAGTTTTATCCTTGCTTTCTTTCTTGACCTTAGTGGGGTTTGATGGCCTTGACCTATTTGCTGATGACCTTGACCTTGGATAATTTGCCTGACCGAGGGCACTCTTTTTCATATCAGTCATCAAGGAATCTTTTTTGCTAGCAATGATGTGTTTATCTGTCCATATTAGAATGCTTCTGCCTGAAATGAAGAACAAGGCAGCAATGCTGTCAAATGTACAGACAAAAAACATGAAATAACTATGCACAAAATAGGCTACTGTCAATTCTGATGCAAAAGTACATTATGTTAAACTGCAAACTCAACATCAAATTTTAATTATGCTCAAGCAGCACCCAATATTATGTTTTCTTCTATTCTGATGCCATATTACATAATGGTTAACAGCATAATGACCGTCAATTTTCAATAATAAAATATACGTATCATGGATTTTCAGAAAATGTGACTAGCATGGGTCTTCAAGCCCGTGGAACTTCAAAGTTACACCTTGAAAATGCCAATATGGGAAAAATTAAATTTTCACAAAAAAACTGTTTAACTGGCAGTAAGAATTACCAAACAGACTACATTGCCTACTGAAGCTGTATTTTAGTCCCATGTTTCTTTCCTGTAAGTTTGAGAACAGTAAGTGACATGGTTTTTCTTAAATGGTCATCATGGGAGCAGTGCCCAAAATAGGGGTT